TTTAAGTAGAGATAGAGTTTCACCATGTTGGCCAGGCTGGTTTTGAACTCCTGACCTCAACTGATCCACCTGCCTCAGCCTCCCAAAGTGCTAGGATTACAGGTGTGAGCCATCGTACCCAGCCAACAGACACTTTTCAAAAGAAGACATACATGTGGCCAACAGCATAGGAAATAAAGCTCACTATCACTGATCATTAGAGAAATGCAAATCAAAACTACAATGAGATACCATCTCACACCAGTCAGAATGGCTAACATCAAAAAAATAATATGCTGGCAAGGTTGTGGAGAAAAGGGGATGCTTATACACTGCTGGTGGAAGTGTCAATTAGTTCAATCATTACGGAAAGTAGTGTGACAATTCCTCAAAGAGCTAAAATCAGAACCACCATTTGACCCAGCAATCTCATTACTGGGTATATAGCCATAGGAATATAAATCATTCTACCATAAAGACACATGCACATGAATGTTCACTGCAGCACTGTTCACAATAGAGAAGACGTGGAATCAATGGAAACGCCCATCAATGGAAAACCACATTTTTAAAATATGGTACATATACACCACAGAATACTATGCAGCCATAAAAAATAATGTGGTAATCTCTTTTCCAGGAACATGGATGGAGCTAGAGGACATTATCCTTAGCAAGCTAACACAGAAACAGAAAACCAAATACTGCATGTTCTCACTTATAACTGGGAGCTAAATGATGAGAACATACGGACAAAAAAAGGGGGGGAAACAGACACTGGGGCCTACAAGAGGGCAGAGAGTGGGAGTTAGAAGAGGAGCAGAAAAAATAACTACTGATATTAGGCTTAGTACCTGGGTAATGAAATAATTTGTACATCAAACCCCTGTAACACGGGTTTACCTACGTAACAAAGCTGCACATGTACCCTGAACCTAAAATAAAAGTTTTTTAAACCACAATAAAATTCAAACATCAACAATTTAATGTCTAATCCTTCTCCAATCCAAATTTTAAGATTTTTTTGGATTTTTTTTATTATTATACTTTAAGTTCTGGGGTACGTGTGCAGATCTTGCAAGGATTGTTACATAGGTATACACATGCCATGATGGTGTGCTGCCTCCATCCCTCCGTCACCTACATTAGGTATTTCTCCTAATGTTATCCCTCCCCAACCAAAATAGGAACGCTTTTACACTGTTGGTAGGAGAGTAAATTAGTGCAACCATTGTGGAAGACAGTGTGGTGATTCCTCAAGGATCTAGAAATAGAAATACCATTTGACCCAGCAATCCCATTACTGGGTATATACCCAAAGGATTATAAATCATTCTATTATAAAGATTTTTTTTTTAAAGAAAAACTTTTAGGCCAGGCGTGGTGGCTCACACCTGTAATCCCAGCACTTTGGGAGGCTGAGGCGGGCAAATCACGAGCTCAGGAGATGGAGACCATTTGGCCAACACGGTGAAACCCCATCTCTACTAAAAATACAAAAAATCAGCTGGGCATGGTGGCTTGTACCTGTAATCCCAGTTACTCACAAGGCTGAGGCAGGAGAATCACTTGAAACAGGGAGTCAGAGGCTGGCAATGAGCCAAGATCATGCTACTACACTCCAGCCTGGGTGACAGAGCAAGATTCAGTCTAAAAAAAAAAAAGAAAGAAAGAAAGAAAAACTTTTAATTAGCAGAATACATTGATTTTTTTTCTAAAACACGATAATAATTAAATAAAACTCATGTTTCACTCCACACCATTGTACCTACAAGAATTCAAAGAAAGGAAAGATGACTGATTCTAACAGAAATAACCATGCAGGCTTCAGTGAAGAGGGTCTGAAATGGGCCTTAGGACAAAGAGGAACTCAGGAGACTGAGAAGACAGACAAGGATATGATATGAACAAGGAAAATAACTAGAAAATGTTTGGAAAAGAGAAAGTAAAATGTGGGTCAAGGGAGTAGATTGGGGCCAGGCTATGAGGGCTCTGAATGGCAGCCTAAGGAATGGGAACTTCATCCTACAGATAAGAGAAGTCATTGAAAAGCTTTGAGAAGGTCGCAAACATGACAAACAGCATTTCCAGGAAGATTACAGTGACAACATTAGGCAAGGTAACTTGGGAAATGGTCTTCAGTTCTGGCAACTTAATAGAAATATCTAGATTTCTTCTCCTTTTTTTTTTTTTTTTCAAACTTTTCATTTTGAAATTATTTCAGACTTTCAAAAATGTTCCAAAACTAGTCAGAGTCCCCATATACTTTTCACTCTACTTCCTCAAATATTGTTTTAGATAACCACAGTGCCAACATTAAAATCAATAAATTATCGCTGACATCGTACAACGAATGAATCTACAGACTATATTCAAATCCTCTTTATCTTCCCCCTAATGTCCTCTTTCTGGACCAGGGTCCAATGTCAGATCACACACTGCATCTCCTTGTTCTGTCCTCTCAGTCTCCTTTAATCTGCGACAGTTCCGAAGAATTTCTTTTGCATGTATGACCTTAAAATTTTGAAAAGTATTGGTGAGTTAGTTTGTAGAATTGGCCTCGGTTTCAATTTTTCTAACTTCTTCTCATGATTATACTCAGCTTAGGCACTTTGGGCAAGAAAACCAAAGATGTGGTTTTGTGCCTTCTCCATCCATTAAACTAGGATACCATAAGATGTTGATAACTCTAATTAATGGGACATTAACTTTGAGCCCTGGGCTAAAATTCCTCCACAATTTTCCTTGGAAGCATTTTTTTTTTTGAGATGGAGTTTCACTCTTGTTGCCCAGGCTGCAATGCAATGGTGTAATCTCGGCTCACTGCAACCTCCACCTCCCTGGTTCAAACGATTCTCCTGTCTCAGCCTCCTAAGCAGCTGGGATTACAGGCACATGCACCACACCCTCCTAAGTAGCTGGGATTACAGGCACATGCACCACACCCAGAAAATTTTTGGGTGTGAGACAGGGTTTCACCATGCTGCCCAGGCTGGTCTCAAACTCCGGACCTCATGACCTACACACCTCGACCTCCCAAAGTGCTGGGATTATAGGCATGAGCCACTGCCCAGCCAGAAGCAGTCTTAAACAACCAATGCTTGGGCCACACCATGCACCAATCGAATCAGACACACTTGGGAAAGGCACAGGCATTAGTAGGTTTTAAATGCCCTGCAAGTGATTCTAACCAGCATCCAGGGATGGAAACCTAAAGTTTAGAAAATGAAGATTAGAATCCTGAAAATCAGCTAGGAAGCCATTCCTTGGGCTTCTCTTTTTACAAAGAACATCCAATTCTAGACACAAATAAACACCTATGGACTTGGCATAGAACCCTGGTAGGAAAACGGGAAGGTTAAAAATCCCCTCATTGGGAACATGATGAGTGAGTAGACTGCTGTCTAATAAAAAGAGAAGGCAGGGCCAGGTGTAGTGGCTCACACTTGTAATCCCAGCATTTGAGGAGGCCAAAAACGACTAGCTCACTTGAGCTCAGGAGTTCGAGACCAGCCTGGGCAGTATGGTAAAACCCCATCTCGAGAAAAACAGACAAATAAACAAAACAAAACAAAAATATTTTGGCATGATGGGATGTGCTTGTGGTCCCAGCTAATCAGGAGGCTGACATGGGAGGACTGCTTGAGTCCAAGAGGTGGAGGTTAAAGTGAGCTATACACATACTCCACTACACTCTGGCCTGGATGTCAGAGTGAGAATCTGTGTCAAAAGAGAAAGAGGGGCAGACGAGGGAGAGAGAGTGCACAGGACACTAAGTAAAGTGACCAGCCCTCCTGCTGGCCTATTTTCTCTCCAGATATCAGAAACCCTGGCTTCAGTAACAGTGCACATCCATATATTTTATTATCTTAAGCCTGACATGAGCTCCTAATTGCCACTGACAGGGACAGAATTACAAATCATGTGATACAAATATGTAACCACATATGCAAAGATGCACATTTCCACACAGAGTTGAATAAACAGTTCATAGAATCCAGATTGAAAGTACATGACCTCCCTTAAACAAACCTGTCCTCCCCATTTTGTCCTTTGTCCGTAATCTCTTCTGAATCTGTTGTAAATTTTATGAAATAGGAAAGTATACACATCTCCTGCCACCAAGCTGTTTAAGTTAGAAAATACTGTGGTCAACTTCCTTAGAGTTATTATCTTAGAGTTTCCATAAAGGGATAGCGTCAATCACCTCCTCAGAGGGGCCATCTGATAACATGCAAAACAAAACGCCAATTTCACCAAAACCCAGAGGCAGGAAGGACCCTGACGAGCAATCACAGGCCTGAGGTATTCACAGGCCTGCCAGGGTCTGGTGCTGCTGGTGCAGGAGGAATTGCTGCTGGCAATCGCTGGAAAAAAGAGACGGCAGCTCTAACACTCAGGGGGTAGTAAGAAAAGAACTCACTCAATGAACCTTCAATTCTCACATAGCCAGTACCCTTCCAGCCTCCCTATAGGGTCTCACTGAGAGGACTGGCACATGATTAAATGCCAACACATGGGTGAAACAATTTATAGAAGCAAGGGATCAACTGGGTCAGAAATAGTCACAAAAGAGACAGGATTCAGGTTAGGCCCTGAATGGTTCAGCCTCAGGAAAGCAGAGACATGGAGAAACCTAAGCCAGGGAACCAGGTGTCAGGCACCACTGTAGATGCTAGTTTTGAAGAGGGTCCCAGGAATGAGAGTGGGCTTGCAGATGTTATTTTATTTACTCTCTCAACCAGCACATGAAATTATTTCAGAGGAGGATGCCCATCCTCAGAAAGGGGAAGTAACTTCCCAAGGTTGGTGGCGGATGTGGGATTAGAAAGTTGGTGAGTCTGACACCAGCACCCATGCCGCCACCACTACCATTGAGAGACCTGAATGAAGTAAGTGTAAGGAACAGGAAAGAGCAGGGAGAGCCAGAGCAGAGTCAGTTTACAAACAGGGAAGTTAGGTAAGCTTGGCAAAGGGGGAATCACATGTCATAGAGGCATGAACAGTAGACAGACGTTCGAACTTGATCTTGTGATTATAGAAGAGCCCCTGAAGGTTTTGAGTAAGGGCAGAACCAGTCAAAGTGAAACCTTGGGCCAAGATCAGTGGGTGGTGAAAACCGGGCTCTGGGTTCCTAAAGTGATGCCACCAACAACAGTGAAGGGGCCGCGTGATGCGTGGAGCGAGGACTGGACGGAGAAGCTGAAGCCCGGCGTTGAAGTGCAGAAAGTCATGCAGTAAAGGCATGACTATGGAGGGCAGGTTATATTCTCTCTCTGCACGGTGGTCTGTCTTCAGCCTTAAATCACGTGGAGTGAGAATTCATCTCCAAATGACCCTCAAGCCTTGCTACTCAAAGTATGGTCCACCAAACAGCAGCAATGACATCATCCAAAAGCTCCTTAGAAATTGAGAGTCTCGGGCCCCACTAGAAGAATTAGACTCTGTATATAATCAAGATCTTCGGGTGATCCATGAACACATTAAGGTTGTGAAGCAGTTCTCTCCAGTGTCTTCCAGTTCTAAAATGCAACTATTTCACACTCATCTCAACTGTATCACCTCACAAGAGAAAAAGGATAATAAAGTTCCTGTTTCACCTCATTTGTGACCTTTTCTTAATCCTAAAAGCTTCTTAGGCTTGCCAGCATTCAGGGAGAGGTTTTAGAAAACACCAGAGGTGGCCGGGTGTGGTGGCTCACGCCTGTAATCCCAGCACTTTGAGAGGCCAAGGAGGATCACAAGGTCAGGAGATGAAGACCATCCTGGCTAACACGGTGAAATCCCGTCTCTACTAAAAATACGAAAAATTAGCCGCGCGTGGTGGCACGCGCCTGTAGTCTCAGCTACTCAGGAGGCTGAGGCAGGAGAATCGCTTGAACCCGGGAGGCGGATGTTGCAGTGAGCCGAGATCAGCCACTGCACTCTAGTTTCCGGGTTCTCAAAAAAAAAAAAAGAAAAGAAAACACCAGAGGGGCAGCACTGCCACCTTGTGGTCATCACCAGTAATGTAGCTAACTCTTAGCGGTAAAGGAGAGGATAGGGCAGGCAGGGGCAAGAACAGAGGTACTTGGTAAAGTCCAAGTCACAGACTGGATATGAAAATCACAACTGCCCACAATGACTGAAAGTAACTGTCACAGAGAGCTCAGCCTGCATCACTGAGCAATGCCCAATTGCAAAGGGCAGTTTTTATAATACTTAACATGTGATATCAGTGGGAAACCACATTCCAAGCCCAGCTCTGCCCTTGTAACCTTAGAAATCACTCTACCAGGTATTTTCAGACACCCAGCCCTGGCTTGAATTCTTCCAGTAAACCTGCAATTTTCCAACAAAACTTCCTTTACTGTGACAGTTCTTTTTCATCTTGAGTCAAAATGTGTCTGATACACGCTCACCAATCCTCAACCTCCTCTCCACAGGCTGAAATAAGTTTAATACCTTTTCATACAACCAACCTGCAAATATGGGTAAACTCTCCCCATGTGCCACCCACCCCATCTTCCCTCAGCCATTTGCCATGTGGGGTCACCTGAAGCCCCACACCCTATGATCACT